AATTTCTAATCTGACTCACCTAAAATACTGTAGGCACTCTCTCAGTTGAAATCCATTTATGTGGAAAGAACAGTTTGCCTTGAGACTTACTCTCCTTTTTTTGACATGCTTGCTATGTGCCTCCCATTTACTCCTATTCTAACCCCCTCTTTATATTTCTTTTTCCAACCATCGTCGTATCTGTCTTGATTTCTCCCTTAGTTTTTTTCTAACGCATTTAAGGCCGACAATTAAATTAAGTGATTTATTCTGAATGTTTGATTGCAGTTCATATGTGGGGACCCATATCCCATATAACAATTTTAAAAACTTTTTGAGGAGAAAACATTTTCATACATAAGAGTGTACATTATTTTTAATATCTGGAAAACTCATACATTTAAAAATCAAACTATTAAGGAAGCAGGAAGAAGTCACAGTCGGATATTGACGCTGCGCTTGATGCGTGCTCTTTGAAGTGAGAAGTGGGAGAAAACTGTGGCTTTCATCTGCAGCAGGATGCCATCCCTTTGTTCTTTGTTCAGCTTTTCCTCGGTGGATAAAATGACACTTTATTTCTGCATTATGTATTACCAACCGGGCTATTTCTGTTAAGAAGCAGCATATCAAATTTGGGGCAAAGTTATTCACAAGTCTCCACAGGCCTGCAGGTAAAGTGTAACTTTCAATGAAAACCAACCACAGCTTTTTAGGCTTTTTTTTTTTTTTTTTTTACTAAAAGCATGTTTAACTTAATTCTAAAGTACCTAATGCAATCGGGAGAAGCTATTTAGAGCACCTTTCATCCCTCTCTGCACTGGATACGGTTTAGGTATAAACTGATATCACATATAAAAAATTTACCAGTTCAGGCACGTTTTTTAATCCGATAACTTCTCTGCAAGAGAACCTTATTCATTATTCATTATGAAATGTACATATTATGTATTTTTTATGCTGGATGGGTGTTTGATTTCAGCGTGAACCTTTGGCTGATTGTGTCCACTGGGAGTGAAATCCAGTCTGTCAAACTTCAAACACACACCTTCACGTGACATTAATACATACATATATTCAAACTGAACAAATACACCAAGCGAAGATGAGAGATAGTGGGATATCTGCAGGTGTCAAAAAACAAAAAATACGACCTTTTAAGACTTTTGAATAGAAGTCCAATTTACTCAGCATAATGAAGTACCACCAATCCCACTGATCTATTTCCATTTGAACATGGCTAATTAAAGTTCTGAAACAATGGCCTGAGAAGAAAAAGAGGGAAGTGAAATAACTATTGGAGGGCATGTGGCCTCTATTTTATTAAGTAAATAGTACAAAGTCCTAAATATTAACCTTTTCTTGTAGGAAATAACTAAACACGCATGTATGAGCAGCCTTCTACTGTTTTCGCTGTAAAAGTTATTAACAAAAAACAGACAAAAAGACATCGTCTGCACTCCAAAGCCATGCTGAGAGAGCTGGTGGCTAGTTGATGAGTATAGAGAAGCAACACAAGAGAGCAAGGGTTGGACTTACATTTACTTATATTTCTGTTCAATGTGTAAATACACAAATCTGTGTCACGTAATAATAAATGAAAAGTTAAAGGGAAAAAAATGTCACTACTTTTTCCTAGATACATTTTAGGCTTCAGGCATTTTAAAGAGTTTCAGATGAAACTGGTTGCTTACAGCTGTGGCAGGTGGCTCCCCTGTAGCCACTGTTGGAGCAGTTACAGTGAAAGGTGCTCCACGACTGAGTACATATTCCTCCATGTTCGCAGTGACTGGGGGAACACCTTGAAGAATGAAAGAGACAGACAGAGAGAGAGAGACGTTTAGTGTTTTTTCTAAAGTTATCTGAAAAAGTTTATGCACGGAACAACAGGCCTTCAGCATGCCTGACGGTTTTGATGAGGTGTGTAGGAGAGACGGGGAATATACAAAGTCTTTCAAAAAAAAACCTTTCAGTCTTAAAAAAACATTTCAGAGGGCTTTATTTCAGTGTCAATGAGAGCACAGGTGTGTGTTCTCAGATGTAGGTGGCTTGAAACTTTCCTTTGTTGTGTTAGTATTGTTAACTACCATTGTAGGATACACAGACAAAACTCTTGAACTCCCACCCAACCTGCCACTCAAAAAAAAGAAAAAAAGACACAATTTATTGTTTGCGTTTCTATTTTTTTTTTAGAGAGAAGAAACACTTTTGTCCCACACATGGAACAGCATTTTTCTCTTGTCAGTCTGCTGTGGTGCTCCATAGCTGCTCCTCTTTTGCACCCCTTTATACAAACACCTTCTGGTTATTGTCTCTCACAGACTAAATATATAGCCTATAAATACACAATAATGATTTTCCGTGAATTCTTTGTCTTTTCGTCTGTTGGCTTAGGCAACCAATCCGCCATGGCTACATTATTTATCAAACTCATACCTCTCTTTTTTTCAATTAATTCTCCCACAACACAGCATACAGCCACAACAGCAAAGCTTTCCATTCTGTGCAGCCTGTGCTCTGCATAATGTTTCTCACAGGATCACAATGCATGTGTCCTGCTCCTAATAGAGGTGAGATGAGCAACTTCCTCCTGTGAGCCTAAAACATTAAGAGAGCTGCAAAACAGTAATTTTGTGTATATTTAGCTGGGACCCAGTGCAATTACATAAACTGTATTTATAAGCACTTATAAGCTAATTTGCATGTGCACTCCACAGGCATGGCACAACACACAAGGACACTGCAGTAATGGGCCTTAGCTTTCTTTTGCAATCTGTGAAATCGTACATTAATGCAAAATTTGCATTCCCATCTGGAAAATGACAATCATTAACTTTCTTAAGGCTTGACTACTCCAACACCTCCCTGTCTACGTTAAAAAAGTCACACTCTAGAAGTGCTGCTTTTTATTGTTTTTTACCAGATGACATCACACTGTCAGAATTCCTTCCACTGGCTCTGAGGACACTTTAAGATCTGTTTTAAATATATGAAGTAAGATATATGGAATTATTTAGCAAACAACAAATTGATGAATAACTCTAAGTATGTCTTATATTTTAGAGTTGCACAAAGTAGCCACCCTTTGCTTTGTTGACAGTGCTGCAAACCCTTGGCTTTCTCTCAATGAGCTTCATTCTGTAGTCACCTGAAATGGTTTTCACTTCACAGGTGGGCCTTGTCAGGGTTAATTTGTGGAATTTCTTACCTTCTTAATGGGGTTGGGGATCATCAGTTGTGTTGTGCAGAAGACGTGTTTGTACGCAGCTGACAGCCCTATTTGACAATTGTTAGAATTCATAATATGGCAATAACCAATCAGCTCAGTAAAGAGAAATGACAGTGCATCATTACTTTAAGAACTGAAGGTCAGTCAGTCTGGAAAACCGCTAAAACTCTGAATGTGTCTTCAAGTCCATCAAGCACTACGTCGAAACTGGCTCACACGAGGACCGCCCTGGGAAGATTCACCAGTGCTTCTGAGCATAAATTCACCCGAGTCACCAGCTTCACAAATCGCAAGTTAACAGGACCTCAGATTAGAGCCTAGATAAAAGCCACACAGAGTACCAGTAGCAGAGGAGACTGAGTGAATCAGCCCTTTAGGCCAAATAACTGCTAAGAAATTACTACTAAGGAAAAGCAACACGCAGAAGAGAGATTTGTTAGGGCCAAGAAAGCCAAGGACTAGACATTAGACCAGTAGAAATCTGTGTTTTGGTCTGATAAGTCCAAATCTGAGATCTTTGGTGACGACTGTCACGTCTTTAAGCGTCTTTATGCAGAAAAGGTGAACGGATGGTCTCTACATGCATGATTCCCACCGTGAAGCATGGAGGAGGTGGTGTGATGGTGTGGGGGTGCTTTGCTTTGTTGGGGATTTATTCAAAATTGAAGGCACAATGAACCATCATGGCTACCACAGCATCCTGCAGCGACATGCCATCCCATCCAGTTTGTGTTTAAGTTGGACCATCATTTATTTTTCAACAGGACAATGGAGTAATGGGTAATGGAAAGTAATGGAGTGCTGCGCCAGATGACCTGGCCTCAACAGTCACCTGACCTAAACCCAATGACATGGCCTGTTTTCTAGATGGTACCATGGTGCATCAAGATCTGATGTTATTTTACTACATTAATAGTTCCAACATTGTTTCACCATTGGCTGAAATGTAGCCCCAAACCATGACAGAGCAATAGAATTAACAGAATGACCATCTCTCAGATCTTAAGGACAAGACTTTCAGAAACTGTTCGTCTGCTGTAGATGCTTTTTTAGATCTGCCACATCTTCTATCATCAACTTACCAGTTTCCTCAACTTTTTTTAAGGATATGCTGCATAAAATGCCAACATATGCTAAGTTCTTTGGGAAACACGTGCAAAAATACTATTTTATATCTGTCAACCACTTTTTGTAGATTATACTACAAAAGTTATCTGTTTTTATTACAGGTTGCTAGTGACAAAGTGCCTAAAGGTACAATTTCAAATTGGTTCTTTGCTGATGTGTGGACACAACTCTGGTTCATCCCTTGAGTTAGGTGCCTTTTTTTCATGCTTGAATGACTCATAGGTCAGTGTTAAGAGGCTTAGCAAACAAAAGACATTTCTCTGAAAATGGTCAGGTCTGGAAAATGAGCTGAAGATAGGTGAAAAAGCAGTCAATATTTAACAAAAGACCTTGAAAGAACTTTTTTTCCCATAAAAAGCTGGTTTCCAGTTATTTCTAACTCATCACACCAAGCAGGCGAAAAATAGCACAATACACTCCATCTCCACGACGCTTACCCATGAATACACTATTTAACAAGTCAACTTGGGGTCCTTGGAGGTTCACACAGAAAGCAGGAGTCTAATGTGGAAAGTCTGTGAAGTAAAAGTGTGCTCAAGTGTCCATGGTACTGCATGGTGGACTTTAGTTTTTTCTTTCTTTCATTGCCCAGAGTGTGCTTCTCATCTACCACACAATAGCAGAGACTTTTCTACACTGTGGAATTTCAGCATGTTTTGGCAGCCTGTCAGTGAAGTAAAAGGCTGCCTCACACAAAGGCCACGGAGAGCATGGGAGTCAAACAACAACCAAACTCCTCACTGCATAAGAGGAAAACAGCATCAGGAAAGAGAAAAACACACCCTTCACCTCCTTTCAGTGCAGCCATTTAAAATACAGACACTGCTGCATCCATCACTCCATTACTGCTGTTAAACACCCCGGCAGCAATAATGGATTATTTATTGATTTTTGGAATACTGTGTTACTTTGTATGTAGTTATTAATGAGATGAATGATGTGTACCAATGTTACAGTTGTCAGTAGCAAACAACATCAACTTTGTACATACAAAAGAAATTACATTTGGTACAGTAAAACCTAATCTCTTGACTCTTATAAAGACTTTCTTTTTAACTATGAAATGATGACTAGGAGCTGTGTTACATTTGTTGAATCTTGTGTGTGAAAAGGAGCTCTACAACAGCATTTAACCCCTAAATCAGTTTTAATCAGCTGTCAACACACACAAGCACGTGTCTGTATACTTGTAAGAACCCTCACTGACATAATACTAGACTTGAACCCCTAACACTACTTGCCAAATGTCCTGATGGTAACCCCACATTTCAAAAATGTCTTGTTCTACTCGAAAGTTCCTGGGTACTATAATGTAAAAATCTTCCTCAGCCGTGCAACGCATCCGAAAAGATCAAAGAAAAAGAGTGAGGATGGGGCGGGGTGGGATGGTGGGAGAGAAAATCAGAGAAGGTGGGAAGGACACAATGAAACTAACGAGTGGGACGGATGAGAAAACAGAGAAAAACAGGGACTGGATATCAACAACACCTGGAAAACAAACAAGGGGGAATAAAGAGGTAAAGCAAACTTGGTGAAGAACTGATTTCTAACTGTTTAAATGATAAACAACAGATTTGGTGACTGCAGACTGTTATGAGGGAAACATCTGTCTCCAATCTCCAATGAGTTCTTTTCCCCAACTTGATTGACTTGATGAGATCCTTTTACCATAATTTTTGGATGGACTTTCATGGCCCTTCCATACAAATCAAATCAACAGTATAACTTTATCTTCATTAAGTTGAGCAAACTAAACTTTTCTTGGCAAGAACTGCTTACATTCACAGAGAGTAACACTTTCCAGAAACATTAGAGTTTTCTGCCAACTGTCTCAACATTCAGGGAGTTGTTTGCAGCCTCAGACAGGAACACAGACAACGAGACTTCAGATTGGGGCGAATGGTGAGATGCCCTATAGCATTTTATCACCAAACCCAGTGAAAATCCGGAGTTTTACAAACACGTCTCCAAGGGGCTCCTAGCTTGACGATTTGCAATGAAACTTGGTCACGTACGGCACGAACCACAGTCCACATCACAGGAGTCCTGGATTAACTCAGTCAAGACTTTGTAGCTTATCTGAAACGTTATAGTATGGAATGACAGTGTGCTGTAAAACAGCTTGGATCACAAGACTCGCATCCAATCTCCCTGGTTTCCATTACTGCCTCTGGCTAAAGCAACACGGCACAGAAACTTCCCTGATCTGAAAATTATTACTGGACAGCCCGACTAGGATGTCCAACAAAGACTTCAAATAGCTGTAGCGTGATGTATTGCATGAGCAAGAGAAGGGAAAGGTATGTATTTTCACTCTTTTTGCCTGCTCTGCACTTGCTCCTACATATGCTTTCGCATCACACACACGGTGACTTTGCATAGCAAATTCTATGTTTGTGAGTCCCTGCTCATGCTGACAAACTGCTGCGTTTGTCAGACAGACAGACAGACAGACACAGAGACAGTCAGACACAACAAGAAGAAGAGTGGACCTCTTAGTGACCTGTGTTTCTTTTTATTTGAAAATGTGTGTGTGCTTTGACATGGTGTATTATTAAGTTGTCAGCTACCTGGCAGAAGCAAAGAGGTCAGAATTACTGCCTACTGACAGCTTCATCTATTTGGCTTCAAAACACGCACTCACACACACACTTGCTGTGGACAGAGGTCGAGGTGGTGGTGGTAAGCTCAGGAGCTTTATAGCCTTGGAAAGCATCTGCGTCCTAAAGTTGTCAGTATGCTTCAATCAAAGTGTTTGTTTGAAACCGCCTCCTCCCACGCTTTTGCTGTGGAAAATTTTAGGGCTGCAACAACTTTTGCAATTTTCCAAAGGCTGACAATCGAACAAACAGCACTTTCCTTCGCTTTTTTTCTTTCATTCTTTACAAAGGTGAGGAGTAACCTACAAGCTAGACGAAGCTTGAGCTGCACTGCATCATGCACATGTTACAGTCCTCACTCTATCAAATTTGGTCTTTTTGAGATGCAAAATTTTCCACCTCTCCCTCCAACATGCCAGTACCTCTTGGTGCTGCTGGATCACTACCTGCTGTTTCCACTCCTCCACTACCCCTACAATCCACATATAGGCTCCCCAGCAGTGGCAAAGAAAGAGAGAAGAGTTGAGATGGTGAGAGAAAATGATGCGTACGTGGACCCAGATCATTAAGCGGCCAGCAGGGGAGTGGGGAGGAGGGACAATTGTGTTCAGGCATGGTGCAAGGCAACCATGCTCAGTCTGAGTACACACAAAATCCACTGCCAATTCCTTATTGTATAGTGTTGCTTTTTTCTTACTTTCAAAGTCTGTTTTCTCCAAGGAAACATGGTAAGAACTTAAATGCATTCTTTTTTTTTAAATCTGATAATCGCCTACACAAGGTGCCCTGTTATTATTTGCCTTTCAGTGCCAACTAATTCCCTAATTGCACAGCAAACAAGGCTTTAGGCTCTCCTAAAGGGTTGTTAAGCAGCAAAGGAAAAGAGCTCTGCATAAGTGGCTAGTGGTTCTCCCATTTCAGTTTCACATGCTAACTGTGTGTTAGTGGTTGTGCTAGTGGATATTTGCCGCTGTGCATTTGCTGCAAACACATGAAAGGGACGAGTCTATTCTTTAAAAATACACTGTCATGTTATGTTTCTAAAGGATTATCTGTAGTATGAAACTGCTGCACACTCACTGGCTAACGACTTGCCAATCACAAATTTCACAATCAGACCTCTGACATCTTGTAAACATCTCAAGGAGCTTCAGAAACCAATGGGAAATTTCATGGTAGCCAAGTCCATCATCATTATAGTGTCCACGGATATATACAGTGGGTGGAGAACACTGAAATTCAGAAAATTACTGTCCACGTTCATGGTACATCTCTAATTATTACCCAGTACTTAGTTATAATCAGTGTAGGAACTAGCGCGTTATTAATTAACGCATTACAGTAACTACGTTATTATTGTGGTAACGAGCACGGTAACTAGTTATTATGCCAAAATCAGGAACACGTTAATCGTTACTGGGTTTTAGATAGGGTCGTTATTCATTATTTCATGTGTTGCGTTCGACTTACCTCTGAAATCGGGACACGGACCTGGGAATAATGTTACACTTGAGTAAACAGTTTTCTGGTTAGCCTCGTCAGAGAAGTCGGGATTCCAATATGGCAATGCCCTCGAAAACGGTTGTTTTGCTAGCCCTCTACAAAAAACAAATTACTACTAAACACATATGCAGCCATAGCTGGACTCAGTGAGCCAATGGAGATTTTTCATTTTTTCTTTTCTTTTTTTTTTCCATAACGGTATAAACAATGAAAGGTGGTGGATTGACCAGATGCTGGCAGATGTGTAAAAATAACTCAATTGTTTGGCGGTGGGTGGCTATCACGGAGCTTCCACAGATTCAGTAACATTAGCAAGTGGTGGAGGCCAGCAGGTGGATGAGGGAAAGGTGAGGTAGGAGGAGAAGCGACGCGAGGCGGCCGCCGGTCCAAGTGTAAGGTGAACTTCAGGTAAGAAGTTATGACCTGCAGTCTATGTGGGTCAGATATAAACCAAGTTTAGGTGCAGTTTATTTTCATTGTGCTAACATTTTACAGTCAGTTATAATAACTCATACTGCATACAAGCTAGCATGACGGAGTTTATATACTGCTGGGAGGGGGGTGCTATGATGTTACTGATAGTGAACTTTATTTTATCCATAAGGTTAGTTATTAGAGTTGCCAACCGTCCCCTAAAAAATGTATTCAGAGAAAATATTACGCGTTCACAGTTTGTCCCATACTTTGGCTACAATGAAAAAAAAAAATACACAAAGCTGGATTTATTCTGTCTTTACGCTGCACAGCTGCCTCTTCTTCTCTCATTCTCTCCCCCTCCCTCTTCTGTTGCTTCTTCAATCATGAAACTGATCAATGATCAGCTGACCGGCTTTTCTGTCGCAAGTCCCGTCTCTCTTGTTTGTTTATCGCCCACTTTGCGCCAACAGCAGCACCTTTGAGCTTGATTTATTTAATATTACTTTCTAGTATCAGCTGATGTTTGCTGAAGCCACAGGTGTAAAAGCTGCTGGTCATATTATCAATTTGGATATGTGATGAGAGGGAAACATGAAGATGAAACCAGGAGATGTCCTTACTGAATCATTAGAGCTGAACAGGTGATGGAGAAACAGGTTCACCTTTTACGTGACATGAAGGAGTTGAAGGGAAGTTATGGTAAATGGACTGATTCTTATATAGCACTTTTCTACTCTTCTGGAGTACTCAAAGCGCTCTATACAACACGCCACATTCACCCAGCCACACCCATTCTGACAAGCACTACCTCTATATTGTGCACTATACTATATACTCACACACATTTATACTCCGATGGATGCATCGAGAGCAACTTGGGGTTAGTATCTTGCCCAAGGATACTTGGCATGCAGACTGGAGGAGCCTGGGATCGAACCTCCAACCTTCCTGCTCTACCTCCTGAGCTACAGCCACCCTGAACTGTTTCTGAGAGACAAATAATACCAGGATCCTTTTTTAGACTGACAGCTGGTAACTGTACAGAGTCTAGCAAAGTTTTGCCAGGGGAGCAGGTAGGGCATTAACAGGGAAAAGGGAAAAGGGGGGCACAAAGAAATACTTTTCTTTCTTATTCTCATGTGTTGTAGATAGTTCAGGAGGTTAACTCAAGCAAGCAGTTTGGGGGTTTTGGCTAAGTACTGTTTAGAATACCAGAATAGGGAGGGTGGTATAGGTTTAAGTTTATTAGATAGATAGATAGATAGATAGATATACATCACTGTCACAACAGCGTTCGTTTTCATTCAAAGGCTTTATGATTTTTCCTATAATTTCCTAGCCAAAATGCCCAGGACCGATTTTTTGTCCCAGTCCAGCCCTGTATGCAGCTCATCTGCAGTCTGGAATTACCCACATCTTCCTACTCAGAAGGCAGAATTTCCGAGTTCTGAGTATAATCGAAAGCACCACGACTGCAGTTTCCGTGTTGGATGTAAAAAGTGCACGTGACGCTGTGACGTAGGCTAGAATCATGGCGGCGGTCAACGACAGTCCAGGCGTGGGATTTCTGCACATTATTTTTTCCTTTCTGTTGGTAGGTGGCACAGTGCACTTGTGGCAGGTTAGTGCTAACATGCAAGCAAGCTAGAAGACTTCCATCCTTGCTGGTATTGCAGTTAGGGAAGCAACACATTAATAAGAGAATTCTGAATAAAACCAAAGTTACTTTCCCTAGTAACTACTTACTTTGAAAGTAACGAGTAACTTGAAGTAACTGAGTTACTTTTGATAGAAGTAAATAGTAATGTAACTAAGTTACTAATTTAAAGTAACTTACCCAACACTGGTTATAATTAATATTAGGTGTTATTCTTGTATTGTCATTTGTATGTCAGTTGTAATTACTAACAAATAAAAGTCACTTCACTATGTCTACATTCAGCCTGGCACCACACTTACATTTGAAAGGTGGCACTTTTAGGGACTTACCTGTCAATGATGCCACACATGTCAATCTGCAAGTGGCTGTAGTTTCCCAGCAGCCTTTGCTGCACTTTGATCAGGTCAACAGTTTGGTCATCCAGAGTCAAGAGACGCATACATCCTTGAAATGTGTTGAAGGGGTTCTTGCACTTTTGAGCGCTCTCCCCAGTGGGACAACCTGAGAAGGGAAAAACATCTAATGGTTGGACTTTTAAATTATCCAAATGATTCCACATGATGTCGATACAAAAATTCAGAGATAGATTTTCTCCAAAGTTTTTCTCAACAATATTTATTTCCATCCTTCCTGAGAATTATCTCTTCACATCTTAATTAGGTGCAAAAATACACCCCCAAAAAAATCTTAATTCACATTTTTGATTTAAAAACAAATTGCACGTTATAAGACATTCAGAAAACCCCCACAGACGTCTTATAAAATCCAGCTCACAAAAACAAACATTAGCATTGTGGAAACAAAGAAACAGTTTGGGGTATGTTTTTAATATCCCTTGTTTTTTTGTTTTGGAACAGGAGGTTGTTTTGCATCGTACTACATCACTTCTGTTTTGAGCAACACCCTGTAAGCAAGAACTGAGGAGACTAACCTCCGCGGTTTTAAAAGCAAAATATTTTCTCATTCCTGTTGGGCTGTCAGCTGTTTAAGAGCTCAGTGCTTCCTTTGCTGTATTTTTTTGTCATGATGCTCCAAAAGATTTTCAATGGGTGATAGGTCGTGACTGCAGTTAGGTCGACTTTGTACCCCTGACTCTTTTAGAATACAGAACCTAGCAGTGAACTACAGGGACTAGCTGAGAATGAATGCAAACAAAGTCAGCTGGGACAAACAGGCACTGCAACTGCAGCTGTCATCTAAAAAGCAGCTCCTTCTGAATATTATTAAAAACTTTTATATTATATTTTATTATTCATCATCATTCATAAGCTTAAATAAACACTCTCAAGTCATTTTACACTCTTCAAAGTTGTAGAATGATCACACCTCTGAAGACTGCACCTTTAGGTTTTATAAAGACTAACAGATTGTTTGGAAATGGTATGGGTTTCAAATATTTGTGATTACGTTTTCACAGAACTCTACTCTGTGATAAACTAAGTACATGTCAAGATTCACGAGCTTTAAGAAATACCTTCAGCAGTATAACTGCTGGTCATTGTACTGTTGCACAACCCAGATCAGCCAAACTTAATGGACATCTCAGTGACTTCAAGGGGCCCAAGTCCCGTTTTTACAAAATAAGCCCAAATCATCAAACATCCACCACTGTGCTTGACCATTAGTATGAGGTGTTTGTGCTGATATAATGTGTTTGGTTTTTACCAAATGTATTGCTGTGCATTATGGTCAAACATCTTGATTTTGGTCTTGCCTGCAGACATTGTTCCAAGCCTTCGAAACAAGCTATACTTACTTTCGGGTTTTCGTAATTGAACTGTTATGAACTTTAACATTTGACATGCTGACTGAGGTCTGTAGTATCTTCCTGGAAAGATTGTGTTACCGTGTTACCATACTGTTGTACTACAGATCAGCAAACTGCCAGGTCTTCTGCTCTGATAGAGTTTACACTTGCTAATGACCAGCTGAACTGATTAGCAGCACCTGGTTGCCACTTCCCCTTTTAATTCCTATAGAAGCAATAAGGGTGTACGTAGTTTTTCAGAAGACTCCATAGCATCCTGTGAGCACATTTTGTGCTTTCAGTTTTTCACATGAAAGCACAAATGTTGAACAGATAGAAATGTGACACATTTATATATCCAGGCAATCAAAGATTTTACAAAATTTGTTGAAACCCCAATGCAGCAGAGAAAACCTACAGGAGAGCTAAAATCAAAAGTATTCAGCCTTTTCAGAACACAAATACTTAGATGTTGAGATATTTTGTCAACCTATTTTGACCTGCTGGTTGCACTAACACAAAGGTTCAGTAAGCTTTCTTTTTCTGATCACCTCATGCACAAAAGAGTAGCTGACCAACAAAGGCCCTCCACCCCACCTACTGTCCCAGTCCATGTTCATCTTATTCATTCATTTGAAAAAGCAACTCACAATATCATCATGGTCTAATATCTACTTAGGCAGTTACCCTCAAAATGTTTTTGCTTACCACTCCCTTAACTTGCTCTTTGATCAGCCTTTGCACAGACTTTGGATTCTGTGTATGAACTCTGATTTAAGCCCTCAGCACAAGCAGTCCAGAGGTGGCTGTCAGATAAATCCTCTCTGCCCAATCCTGTGAATGAGCCCCATGTTTTATCCATCAGTGATTCGTGCTTCAGGTTGATCCTGGATGGCAGCATTCGGTGACCCAACACAGCATTGCTGCTCGCGGCTCTGCATTGCTCTAATTACAGTCAGTCAGACACACAGTTTGGCACTTCTTACCACAGGAAGGGGGGAAAGATGAGTCACTGGTCGTTGTCACCTTAAATTTTAGAAACTCAGAAGAAGACTTTGTTGGATCTGTTTTGCTTATGGCAGTCAAGATGACGCAGCAGGAAGTTTAGTGTTGATCACAATGTCATAACAATTGAGTTTCACCTGAAATTAGGTTAAGAATGTAACTACAGCTCAACTCACTGCCATCCTTTGCTCATTATACTAAGGCTGCTGTCTCTTAGAAAAACTGGAGCACTTCTTTAATGTTGTGATACCATTCACAAGCAGTATATAAACATTTATGCTGCAGGCAAAGGTGTGTGAAAGGATAATGCATGTAAAAAAAAGTTTAAAAACAAAACATTTCAAAAGATATCCTGTACATTAACAAAATTGTGTTAACAAAATCTGTTGTGGCATGGAAGTGACCTGCACAATATTAGGCAGGTGGATGTAATTTTGCAGCTGATCTCTTAACAAGTTTGTCTTTAGCTCCATGTGTTTACATGTGTAGGGGTGGAAGAGAGAAAGTATACATGTGCTACAGTAACAGGAGGGAGGGAAATGAAAAGAAGAAAACCTCAATTTTAAAATAAAAACACCGGTGATTTGGAGAGACAGAATGACAGAGAGAAAATAGTGGATACAGTTAGGACAAAAAAGGAGGAAAAAAAAGAAGAAAGATGGGTGGAGCAGCCAGAAGAAAGATGAAAGAAGAGGGGGGTGGGGAGTGAGAGCCACCGAGCAGCTTTATGACTTTGTCCCTCTCTGGGTGGCACTAAACCTCCAGAGGAGATCTGGAGATGATAATTATTACCAGAGTACCTGCATGAATTTTAACTACCCCCGTCTGTCGATGTCAGCAGTTTCTCTGGCAGCAAAGCCCTTGCACATGCTTACAGTATGTATAATCTGTTGACTTTAACCATAGAGAGCTTTTAGAAATGCTGAAAATCCCCCCCAAAATCTCTCTATATAAAAGTAGTACATGATGCAGGTATTCTTACCACCAAAGAAGAGTTGACTATCTGAGGTGAGAGGAACCGAGATGCTGATGTGAGCGGTGGCTCCTTCATCTTTGTCCACTGTGATGCTTAGATGATCATGTTTGAAGCTCAGCTCCACATAATGCCACTGACCGTCATTCAGACCTGAGCCTGAGACACAAATACACACATACAAAATCCAGAACAGGGTGTGATTGAGTTCAAATCAGGATGTGACCTTGGTTTAATTTTAATTTCAAGTATAAGAAAAATATAAATTACTCCATTTCCATTTTTTACTTGCATACACTTGTTGGCCACTTTGTTAGGTGCACTTTGCCCGCACTGGGTTGGACCTCCTTTGTTTCTCAGAACTTAATTCTTTGCGCCACAAATTCAAAAAGGTTCAAAACTTTCCCTAGAAATTTTGGTCCATATTGACATAACAGCATCAGAGTTGCTGAAAATTTGTCAACTTCACATCCAAGGTGCTTTATTGGATTGAGATCTGGTGACTGTGAAAACCATTTGATTATACTGAAATCACTGTCTCATTCAAGAAACCAGTTTGACATGACTGTGGTCGTAAAGGGTGGTCATGGCCAACAAAACTCAAGTAGACCATGGTGTTTAAAGCTGCTTTAAATTTGCCAAGAAGATAACCCCCAAACCAATGCAGCAGCAGTCTGAAACACTGATACAAGGCAGGATGGATCCATGCTTTCATGTGGTTTACACTAAAATCTGTTCCTTCCTCTTAATGTTACAGCAAAAACAGAAAGTCATCAGATTCGCAAATATTTTAACTTCTCTGTCCTATTTTGGTGAGTCTGTGCTGATTGTAACCTCGGTTTCCTGTTTTTAGGTCACAGGTTAGCAGCCAGTGTGGTCTTCTGCTGCTGTTGCCCATTTGTAATGAGTGGGTATATGAGTTACTGCTCTTGTCAGCTCGAAGCAGTCTATCCACAGAGTTCTCCTCTGACTTCTGGCATCAACAAAGCATTTTCTGCCAGAGAAGTGCTGCTCACTGAAAATCTTTTTCAGACGTTTCTCTGTAAACTTTAGAGATGTGGGAAAATCATGTATGTTTTGCTGGTCTTGCACCAACAACCATGCTACAATCATTAGTGATTAGCTGAGTAGATAGTTGTGTCGTTGAACTGATGTACCTAATGAAGTGACCATTAAGCATACTCTAATGTATACGCAAATGAATAGAGAAACATGCAGATCGTGACTGAACCCACCTGCGCTGAGGTCCAGAGAGGATCTGCCTGCTTTACTGATCTGTAGTCGAAGCCTCGCCTGGCTCAGGTATAGGAACACTGTACCATCCTGCTGCGGGAGACCAAAGGTCAAGAGCAGACCTCCCTTGTTCCACGTCCTGAACTGCAGCGTCACAGACACTAGCCCTGTTGACCACGATGTAAGGCCAGGCAACTGGAGGAAGCTGTGGGAGTCAGTGAACGTCACAGCCACTGAAACTGGCTCAGCACAAGAAAAGGTCACATTGCCCTGAGAACAGGAAGAGGGAAGAGAGAGAGAAAGAAATGATTGTGAAAGAGATAAAACATGAATATTCATCGACTGCAGAGGCTGACTTGGTTTGACTGGGTGTCACAGAGGTCTCATCAGCACCTCTCTGAAAAAGGACACCTGTATTTCCATATTGATATCAGCTGAACAGCTAAAACGCTGAAGGCTTTCTTTGGAAACCTGAAACATCAGAGTCAGAAAGGCTTTGCACACACTGCCTATTTGTGCCACATAATCAAATTTCTTAATTACATCGGGAAACTGAAATAATACAACATGAGAAATATAGTTTTATAAACAGCAGTGTGTCCAAATATTCCATGATGGAATTTACCACGTATAAGCTAGTATGGTTCAAGTGTTCTTCTTCTTTTTTTCAACTGCCACTTGTCTCATGCAGCTCTTTTGCTTTGGGCTTTGTAACATCAGAATGTAGATGTGATGACACTGGTGATGATAATGAAGGAGATTATGATGATGCTAATGACGCTGATGACGATGATGATGATGGGTGTAAAAATAGGGAGGATGATGATGCAAATGATGAAAATAATGATGATAACAATAGTAATCATGACAGTGACCATTAGCATAATAATTACCACGATGCAGAAAAGGCAAAGAGGAAGGCTGGGGGAAAAGTCACTAAAAGTCTGTCGTGGGGAATAAAAGTTCACAGCTTGTTCAAACTTTCATCACGGAAGTACTCTAACAGAAGAATGATAAATGCTAAATAATTAATTACTATCATAATAAATTGACAGCCTTGACAGAAGGATAACACAGCTTTACTAGAAAATGCTATCATCACTATAATAAAACACCATTTTTCTATTAAATTAGGGCTGCTCGATTATGGCAAAAATGATAATCACGATTATTTTCACTGAAATTGAGATCACGATTATTTGACGATATTTATTTAACCCTTTAAGACCTACTATAGAACCAAGTCCACCAGAGCTTATATTATTATTTTTTTTTTTACATGTTGTAGTGCCATTTGTGGGAGCATTTCAAGTTGCTATACATCAATACAACTGTTATAGCCCATATTTTAATATATGTATGCATTAAGTGCATAGTAATTACATAAATTGCAAAAAAGTGCAATAAACTACAAAAAAAATTGAAAATCGCTTTTGTTTTGTTTACATATATTTCTACTTGGAGAAATTTAAGAGGCTTATCCCTCAAAACTTTAAATACAATAAAGTTGCAAAAAATAGTTTCCCACCACAGGAAATTTATTTTGAGCGTCTTCATAGTTTTATTTTGGAGATACAGCAATTTTTATATACTGCAGGAAAAACAAAAAACAATCCTATGATGCAAATTTGCAAGGAAAACAGCAGGTGCATCATTTCACTGTGGGAAGTGTTACGAGCAGCTGATAGGAACGGCAAAGCGTGTTTCTGGAATATTATGCTTTTGTTCCTGCAAGCGCTTTTTATGCATAAGATGTAAGTACAACTCCTCCGGTTTCATATGCAAAACAAATTATTGCGCTAGCTTACGTGGTTGCAGTGCTACAGGGATTTAAAAATAGTTACGCAAAACGGAGCGTGCTGCTCTGACCGACTTTAAAGGGTTAACAATGACTTTAAAAAAAATAATATAAAATAGTGTGCAACACCACTGAAGTTTTTTTTTTAAAACTCTTTTCAATCAACGGCAGTCACTCTCCAAATAACTTCTGCTTAGCTTTCCGAGCTTCCCTCGGGTCCTCTTAATCAGCGGTCTCCACCCTTTTTTGCGCCACCGGCCTTTAAGGTGTCGCGGATAAATGAGGGAGGGGCTAATAATCGGCTCAGTCATTTTTAATGATCGTTGAAAGCCCAGATCGTAATCGTGATTAAAATTCGATTAATTGAGCAGCCCTATATTAAATGATTATTTTTTTACAGAAGACTTTTTATTTACTATAAAAATGTCACTTGTTCTTAAGCTACAAATACATAAACTGAAAGTTGCTTTGAACTTGCAGCTAATGTTTGATTTTCAAAGGGAAAAAAATGAACAATTGGCACACTGCAGAACTCCAATTTCTTTATTTAATGCATTTAGTACTTTGTGATGTTTCAAGCATACCTTCCCATCTTTAATCACCTGTGTTAGGTCACATGACCACGATCACTGACAATAATATACGATCACATCCACGTCTTACATAGGACAAACAACTGATGAATAAATCTTCTATGAATAACACATTGCATCGGAAGACCAAAGCGATATGTGGAAGATGTCTATGTCACATTTTTGGCTCTGTAACAGCTCAACAAGGTGGAGATGATGTGCATGGATTTTTTTTCCTAATTTTCTAGAGGTGCAGTCCACTGGTGGATGAAAATAGGATCAGCCAGACTGACCTATAAATAATCAGAGTGGTGGAAAAAAAAACTCTGATGCAGTGATGCTACCCCTCATATCCATATTAAACCCTAGATATAGGGCTGTGGCTGACTTTTGTAAAAACTTTTTAAAACTTCCCAAAAACAAATCAAACATAAACTCTTAAATTTGCCCGATTACCTTGCTAAAGTGCCCTTCACATACAACGCTTCAATGGCACCGCTGTGCTCTGAAATTTATTATTTTCCTGGTTGGTGAGCACTTGCTGGTGACATGGTGTGACATTTGCATGACCAATAGAAAACATAGAATGGCAGGGAGCGTGCACAGAAAATCCACATAAAGACCATTACTAGCTGCAAAAACAGTACATGCAAAGCACAGCAGCCGTTCCAATAGCTAACCAGTGCTGACTGCTAATGTGTAGCTGATAAGTGAATTATGTGAATTAATGAAGTACATTTAACTTCTGCACATTGGTTCAATCGATGCAATGGCCCAGTAAATTATTCACTAGAGATGCAATAATGATAGATGTTAACGCATTCTTACAAATAACACACAAAGTGGATCATCACCAAACACAATTTAGAGTAAGAAGAAAGTGTAAAACAATACAACAATAATTATCCATCCACCCATTCACTTTTGCTTATCCTCAGGGTCATAGGGGACGGCTAGAGCCTATCCCGGGCACCACAGGGTGGAAGGCTGGGTACACCCTGGACAGGTCACCAATATGATGCAGGGCTAACACAGAAAGATGGACAACCACATTCACACCTGTGCGAAATTTACTATCACTAATAATCGAATCCCACTAAATGCATGTCTTTGGATTGTGGGAAGAAGCCAGAGTATCTGGAGAGAATCGACAGTGTCATGTGGAGAACGTGTAAACTCCACACAGAAAGGCTTCGACTAGATGGTGGAGTCATTGGACTCAGGACTAATATTGAATGTTTAGTTTTTGCAAGAACTGCAATGCTGAGTCCTTCATGACATTACAAACCTATTAGAAAAGAAGTGATTCCTGAAGATGCATTTTGAAAATACTACTTAGTACACAAAAATGAAGCAATTTCAACGTATGCTCAAAAATCTCTTCTTTTCTCGTAGGTTTGAAATGTCATATAGGACTCAACATTGCAGTTCTTGCAAAACAAAACAAAAAGCTGAAATAAAATATTTAGAATACTTTACAGATATTACAAATGGATTGTGGAGGCAGTCAAGGCACTTGCTGCTAAACGACAGATGAATGTGCCATACACCCTACACAAGCAGAGATGCATGAAGATGAACCGGCAAGTGAACCCCAACACAACAATGAATATTGTACTGAAAGAACAGATGTCTTTGAGCTGGCTTTGGACTTGGACTCAGCTTTTCTCCTTTACGCACACTAAGATGAGGCCATGTTTTTTTGTTTTTTTTGTTACATATTTAACAATGAAAGCTTTGTGTAAAAGAAAGGAGTTACTACACGGTGACATATAGCAGTCATTCTCAATCCTAGACTCCACAAAAACTTTTGCTTTTTTTCTACTAAACTTTTTGAAACTGCGTGTATGCAAAGAGCTGTCCTCAGAATTATTAATATAAACATGCAAAACTTAAATTAATAACATTACAGCTTTAATTCGGCATCATGAGTGACAAGCAATTAGTAGGCAAAATTGTACCACACTATTACTTTTAGTGCTTGTGGTAAAATTAATTCATAAAATGCTGAAATATAATGACTCACCACTATCGCGACCTGTGAACTGCCATGTTTGGCCAGGTCTATCAGGTTGATGTCGCTGTACAGCAGGTTCTCAAGGCAGCCATGAAAGTTCCTGTTGGACAGGATGGGTTTCTGCAGTCCGTGGCTCTGGACAGCCGCCACCGTCAGCTGCACAGTAATTTCAAAACACGCTATAATAATATTACCTTCTCCCTCTGAATGACATCAAGGTTGCTGTAAGAGGTTCATTCACAGAGTACGCTGCCTTTTAACGCAGAAAAATAAGCTCAAAAACACCTCTTCATTGCCTCAGTACACTCACACAGTTAAATTATGCACTGAATAGCCCCTTTGAATAACCCTCTCAAGCTGGTTGGCACAGAAAGCTGCCCACCTTCTGCCTTTTCATTCACTAGAAGAACTAATATGACTTGAATGTCCTGTCTGATTTATTCTCACTCTAACTCACTCACGCTGCTGAACAAATGAATATTTCTGCAGGAGTGGATGCGCTTTTGACACATTTGCTTCAGAATGTGTGTGTGTGTGTGTGTGTGTCTGTGTGTTTCCTCTCACCGTGTGAATGTGCCAGTGGCTGAGATCAGCCGGTATTTGAACCTGCAGTGTATTTTTATCTACGGTCAGGTTTAGGTGAGTGCTGAGCCGCTCCAGCTTTACATGGTGCCAGTGCTGGTCATCAAGCAGACTGCCCAGGGAAACGAGAAGTTGACCACCAGAGGATGAACTCACACCTGCAACACAGAGGGAGAGAGGAGCGAGAGAAAAGTTGTCATGTCGGTGCCATGGTACATTTCAGAGAAGAGCAACATCCCCGGCCAACGCAGAAATCCCATTATGCATCTCCTGCTGAGGATCTTTGATTTTTTTTTTCCCTGAAGTTTATTACCTCCAACGCACTTGAAGAAGAACATCCATAAAACATTTTTAACAAGGACAAACATCTGTAAAGAAAATAGTCAGTGTTTTTCCCAGCAAAACACCTATAGGAAGGGATTGTGTTCAATCTATCAAAACAAAAAGCGCCACGGAAAGATTGCTGCATCAGTGGGATATTTTTTAATCTCTGTTTCAAAACAAGAAGCAGGTCACTGAGGTCACCCTCTTTCATTATAGAGCACATTTCTGTATGCTGAGAGGGAGGAGGACAGAGTACGAGAAATGATGATGCTACAAAATGATACCAGGACATAATTAATGACAGACCCAACACCAGTAGGTCTGATAGGTGGATTTATCTCTGGGTCCTCCAATATGTTGGTTAGGAAACGAGGTTCTGCTGACAGAATGAGCTACAACAAAAGGAGAGATATAAGCCAAGTCATTAATTATGAAAGGTGTTTTCTTCCAGATAGAAAGACAGTTCAAATTACAGAATTCCAACTCCTCATTGTGTGTTTAGGGGCAGAGCTACGCAAAAGGCTGGTAAATGCTGGAAAATTGGTGGCTGGGAGTTAGAAAGAAGAAACCTTACAAAAAATCTGAAGCCTGCTCCCCAAATCAGTTTGAGGTTTTTAACCACTACTATCTTAAACCAACTAGTTTCTCCAATCTAAAATAACTGTCAGTGATCAACTTGCTGAATAGATCAAACTGTGGGTATCAGTTTCAGGTTTCAACAAGGGAGTACGCTGCATTCAAAGTTTGCATCAGTGACTTCATTTTTTTCTATATTGGCAATGTTACACAGATATATTAGACTTATCCTAAATTGTCTTTAGTATTGTGCTCTAGCTATGAATCAAAGGTCCAACGACAGTTTTCCCACTACTAACAATCAAATTAAATGAAATTAAAATTAAAATCTGAAAGATAAATCTAACATGGAAGTCACAAAAACTGCAGGTAGTCTAGAGGCAACTTGAGGATAGTTCCTCAAAGCTAGTCGCTCCTATTTATTTCCTGTGCTAAAATGCTCAATTTTGCAATGGAAATAAGCAAAAAAATAAATAAATAAATGTACGTAAATAAATCTCATCAGTAATTTTTTATACGAACCAAAAGTGGATTAAAAGTACACACCGGCTGTTAGCTATCTCATGTTACAGTGCTATGGTTAAATGTATTGTAATTCAGTTTGGTTATGCTAGTATTACTTTATTAATACGTTAGCACTAAGTCGCCTGTGTGTTCTGCTCATACTGTAGCCTAAAGAGGCACCTTGCTAATGAAGCTAGCTAATGTTAGCTGATGAGTAAACGTTCCAGCTTCTCCAAATATATCCCTACCTCCTAAAAAATGCAGGACTGACTAAAATAGCCAAAAATAGCCAAATCGAGGAAAACAGTATTAAAATTCACAAACCAATAAGTGATCAGTGTCTCTATCTTTTATAACACAGTTTGTGATTACACAAACATTTAAGTGAGTATTCAATGCTAAACAAATAAGTGGCTACACAATGCTCTTAAGTTTAACTGAGATCGTGATTAATGTGAAATAGTATCCAAACTTACTTCCAGTCTGAAACCAACTTTTCAGGGGCTTCAACAATGGAGCTTTGATCAGGACACAACTACCTTAGCTTAGTTTAGCGCAGAGATAGGAACATGGGAAACAGCTAGCCTAGTTCCATCGACAGAAGCCTGTCTTCCTCTTGCATCCAGTACTTACGCTGAGGATAAACAAGTAGTTTAAGAGAAAACAATAATAGAAACACTTCACTTCCATTAATGAATCTCTTTCTGACTCTCTGTCAGTCTTGATTCCCTTATTCCTCTTCTCCTTGCCTGCAAGTTTAATAGGAAGCTGAGAGAAAGAAGGTTCAATTTAAGAGAACCGTAACAGTGCCAGCATTTAAAATACAACTTCACTGCAAAGCTAACACACATTCTCAAAACCAATTCTTAGTTTTAGTCACAGTTACGAGGAATTTCATACCATACAGAAAGAAAAGGAGCAAGACATCCATGGCAAGAATTTGACTATGAGTGGGTTTCAGATTTGTTGATTTCATGTATTTGCATCTTTGTGTATGAGAATGGTAGGACACACAGTCTTACCAATGGTGTCAAACCATTTCACAGATCAATGGCTTTGAAAAAGATCAAGATTAATTTAATTATCATTATTCTACACAAGGTTGCACAACAAAATTGCAGATGCAGTACCCTCTATGAAAAATCCAAAATGAATTGAGTATTGCATAAACGGCCTTGGTTATATCAAGATACAACATGTTTTGGGTCTGTTCTTTTTTCTTGTTATCTTGTCTTGAAAACAACATGGGATACATTTTTATAAGTTATTACCCACCTATTTATATTAGGGTTATATAATCTGGTTATATTATATATAATTAATGGCTGTGGCTGTTTTAAATGACAATTTGTGTTATTTTTTTATCAAAATATGATTCTGTTCATCTGGACGTAGTGTTTTCAGTGCGAGAAACGATGAGTGACGAAACGTTTCTCGCACTGAAAACACTACGTCCAGATGAACAGAATCAACTTTTGGAGATTTACTTACCTGGATGATTGAAAATGCATCAAGATGTTTTACCAAAATACTTCAGTTTTTCCAGTAAATACAGTATCTTTTTCAATAGCACAAATTGGCATCCCATTTGCTGTCAGAGAGAATTAAGTATCAAACGTATAGATGATGTCAAAGTGGCTATGTCCATTTTAATGTACAGTCTAAAGGTAAAACTCTTTACCACACTGGCAACAACTTGCATTTGTTTACAAAAAACCTCAATTAAGAGATCACTAAGATCCTGAGGGGAACATAAAAGTGTTTAACTGTTTTTTTAAAAACCTACAAAACAGAAAACATGAAAGCAACAACATCAAGATCAAAGTGCTAGATAGTCCCTTGTAGACACAGAGTAGTAGATAATTATAGCATAGGTTGGCATTTATACCCCAAAGATGCTATTCCTATTCTTTTTTGAATTCTTTGTCAGAGACATACTTTGTCTCTCTAGACAAAGTATGTCTTCTTTTGAAACATTCATTTTAGCTTACCATAAATTTAAATGAACCAAATCAGTCCTATAGTAAGTGTGAAAGGCAAGAAGTTATAGCAATATTTACCATCCACAGTAAATTAATATTTAGAAAGAGTCCTCCATTTGTTCTCCTTTTTTTCTGCCACAAATCTCTTTCACTTCCCAGTGTCTTCAAAGGCAAACAAGACGGCAGTCATTTACATTTTTACATTTGCCTTTAAACAATGAACTATGCGGGGTTTTTTTAAATTGTTTTAAATTCTATTTTAAAGATGCATTCTTTATTTTTACCGCACCAAAAAATTCAGTAGTAAGAAACCTATCATACAGCAGGGGAGTGCAGTAAGAGGTTTCTTTCCATTTTCTGGCTCCTCTGGGACTCTTGGGAGGCAGCATACAAAACGAGTAAATTGCTGTAGACAAAGTGGAATTGAGTAAGCAAATGCAACAGCAATCACCGCAGTTCATTGTCTTCTATTTTCTCTGCCAATTGGCACACTTTGTCCAAAGACATTCATCTCATTTCAGCGGCGCTGTTCAGATGCCTGGGGGGAAGATCTAGTTGTAGCTTTTGCTGCTCTGTACAATGAGCAAAATGCTGATTGAGGCAAAGTCGTGCTACTGTAAACCCTGAAATATTCCATTTAGAATGCCAGAAACCAGACAGTGAACACAGCATGTCCTCACTGCTGAGAATACGGAGAGAAGAAAGCCTTTCACTTAACATGCAGCCTGCCCTGCATGGATCTCTAATGCCATCCTAATTTCGTCAGTGATACTTAACACCATTTGTCCAAAAGGCACTGGAGCCCTCAGCGCATTTACTGCTGTGTATTACAGCTTTCCAATGGCAGTTCAGAATTGAAGTGAATTATGAAGCAGCAGGCTACATTACAGCAAACTGACATTTTGATAAATGTAAAGCATAGAGGAAATGAGATGGTTTTGGATAGCGGACATAAATCTTAATGAGCCAGTCAATTTATTCCAACTGCTTGGACAGCCACAGGCACACAGAGAGGGTCTAAGTGTCTCACTGCATGTGTTTGTTTGACTGTCTGTCTCCTTGGTCACTGTCTATTGGTCTGTCTGTTATTCCTGTCTTTGTGTTTCCATTCAGACGTGTACTTATGCTAATGGATGTTGCTCACTAATTAATGAAAACACTTGCAACCTTATAAGCTGTACATTTACCCAGTTCACAGTGTTCACAGCCACCTCTCTGTCTCAGCCAGCTTGCTGTTCTCGTGAAGTGACATGAATCACCGTTAAAGAGAGGACCGGGACTGACAGGATCAGGCCGGCAAAAGGGAGAGATAACTGTGAAAAGCTTCAGAGAGTCTCTCACATATTTCAGTGTTTAGATAATGCATCTAAACCTTCTGCTATTATCTATTAGCTCTGTTAGTTTGATCTTCTCTTGTCTTCCAACAGCTGACTGTGGAGGAGCATGCTGTGGCTCAGGGTGGATGCTCCAAGCTATTGATCTAAATTACACTGTCTGTAGACTCCAAGCTCCTTAGAGATTCGGAGGGAGGAAGAAGACAAAAGATGAATACCATGCAATTGCTAAAGGTAAATAATTCAATCTGAAAAAAGAACTAGCAGAGGCAGAATTTGGATCACATATGAAAAAGGCTTTGATAAATAAACATGAAGATTTTTTTCAATAGCAAAAAAACGATAGGGTGGGGATTGACAGAGAGGCAGGGCAATAAAGAGAGCGTGCAGTATCAGTGCTGTGACTGAGGCAAAGTCCGATTTTTAGGATAATCGCAA